TTTTGAAATGATGAATGAAAATTTATTCTTATTTTTTTTTTATTCAATTATTCATTTTCTTGATTTCGCCCATCCCTGGGTTGGGGACAGTTTGTTTGGAGCGGCTTTGTATGTGTATGTGGTAAATATCTACGCATGTATGTAGGAGTACATAAACAAGTGCTACTATTAATAGCAGCACTTTGCCTATTTACTATTTTGCGTTTTAGTTTTTACAAATCTATTTTTTGTTTATGTACTTTATGCGTTGTTGTAGGCACTAGATCAGTCGAGTTTATTTTTAGATTACATCATTGGATTTGTACATCCAAATTCTACTTCTGTGATAATATTTTTTTTGTTTTGGAAATTTTAATTATACATACATATGTAGGGAAATCTACGAAGAAGCCTAACAGTGACTGGACATAGTCATGTAGCGAAATGCTGGAATTCCTTATGAGCACTCGCTTCCCACGGTGCTCTCCTCCGATACCTCGTCTTAGGACCCACTCGTCCATAGGCGGCAAGGGACATCGGAAGTTATGATAGGGTGCAGGCCCGTAGCCAGGATTTTTTTGGGGGGGGGGGGGGGGGGGCTTCTGGCAAATTTTTTTTTAGTTTCAATTTTATTTCGACATATTTTGATTAAAAGAAAAATACTGATAAAAATAAAGTTTTTCATAAAAATAGGGTTGAAATCTTGAAATTCCTGCCCGTAGTTTGTTTGTAAGTCAAATATGAGTGGCATTGTGCTACTATGATATCACGGCCGAGTAATCATAGCCAACTTATGTACAGTAGTCGAAAAAATTATAGCCGCACCAAATTTTTACAAGTTTTAAAATATTATTTTTGTTGTTATTTAATTTCGGTTAGTTTTTTATAGTTCGTTCTTTACCAACATTCGTATAAATACAAGTTTTTTACATAGCGCCTTTGCAAGTGGACTGCTCAAATTTGGAAACATGAATTTCCACGGGTTTTGTTAAAGAACGAACTATATTTTTTTTTAAATATATTTTGACTAACTCCGAACTTGCATTTTTATACCCGAGCGCACTTGTGCACAAGGGTATATTAATTTTGTTCACATAACGGTTGTTTGTAACAGCCAAAACGAATCGAGATAGATATAGAAAAATGTATACATAAATGATCAGGATGAAAAAAGAAATCGATTAAGCCATGTCTGTCTGTCCGTCCGTCCGTGTACACGATAACTCGAGCAAAAATTGAGATATCTCGACGAAATTTGGTATGTAGGTTTCCCTTAATCCAAGGTAGGCTGGTATTGAAAATGGGCGAAATCGGACTGTAACCACGCCCACTTCCCATATAACGGTAATTTCCAGAAATACGAAAACTGCGATATTTTAGTAACTACTGAAGATAATTCACTCAAAATTGATATTTACAATAATTTTCAGACGAAAAATAAGTATATTATAAATTTTTGGAAAATGGGCGTAGCCACGCCGACTTATGGTTACATGTCTATATCTTGGTAACCGATGCACCAATTTCTTCCAAACTTGGCACAGTGGTTGGCCTTGATACAGCATACAAAATCGCCGAAAATTTTCAAAATCGGGCAATAACCACGCCCACATCCCATATAACGGTAATTTAGAGAAATACAAAATCTTTGATAAATCAGTAAATATTGAAGCTAATTTATTCAAAATTGATCCTTGCAACAATTCCTTACCAAGAAATACGTTTATGGTAATATTTTGGAAAATGGGCGTGGCACCACCCACTTATGATCACATATATGTATATCGGTAACCGTTCTACTAATTTGTACCAAACTCGGTGTGGTTATTGTGCTTGCCACATATAAGCAAAACGTTGAAAATTATTGAAATTGGACTAAAATTACGGCCGCTTTTCATATAACGGTAAATTTCAGAAATGCTTGAAACTTCAATATTTCGAAATTGAAGGATGCTAATTTACTCAAAATTGATACACCCCGGCTTATCATCTAGCGGTAGGTTTCGGAAAGGTGAAAAAACATATTTAATACTTGCGCAGGGTATTTAATGTTCGGCTCCGCCCGAACTTAGACTTTCTTACTTGTTTTACTAGAATTTATTGGGATGCCAAACTGCTTACTCAATAAATTCTAAAAAATCTGATTGAAAAGTTGAAAATTTGCTGAATTTTCGCGAGTTTTCCACAAAATTCAGGAATTATATTTTAATGTTTTTTTTTGGAGAATGAATCATATTTTTATAAAAAATTGGCGGAAAAATATTAGAAAAAACATTGCTACATAGATTGTGAAAAATTTGCTGTGCCAATACTTTTTGCCGGCACTGTATAAATTCTGAGCGCTCAGAAAATTGTTTTTTAGAATCAGAATAAAAAGCGTAGTGCTTCATAGCACAAAAAAAAAAGACAAATATAAGAATCTTTACATGTTTTTTTTTGGAGAACGAATAAGAAAAGTATTACCTGCTATGAACAGAAAACGATTTTTTGCCAGGAATTTTTAACGTAAATAAAATTTTTTATGTCGTCCATAGAAAATTTTAAGCTCAAATTATGTAAATTTGATGGCAGAGTAGACAAAGTTGAAGAAAAATTAAATGAGTAAAAACTTTTCGGCAGCACAGCTAGTATGTTTTGAGAAAATACTATCGAAGGTGGCTTTGTGATTATAGAGTTGTGGTCATTTCTTACTTTTCGCATGCAAATCGAAGTTACAATAAAAAAATGTATCTATTTAGTTATTCATGCACTTCGAATAGCACTATGTACATATATATCTACAAGTAGATGCACATACAGTATCGGTCATATCTATAGCACGCCATTTCAAAGTAATATTGTGTGCAACTTATGTAAATATTATTTATTTTTGAGGATTTTCAATTAAAATACAGTTCTTTCTCTAAAAAACCCCATATAAAAACAAGTTTAACAATTTGTAGAAAACTTCAAAAAAGTGCAACAAATTTTCACCTAAATTTCAAACTTTTTTCTCAGAAGTGTTTGAATTTTTCT